AATGAATGAGTGGGATGTTTTTCAAGTAGTACAAGTCTTCTGAGCTAGCTCAAGCCTAGCTTTAAACCCTAGCTGTTTCAATCGACAAATCAACGGTCACTATCCGTCGTTGCCTACAAAAGAACTCATTGGACGGCTACACCGAATTACACATCACAAAAGAACCCTTTCACAATGGACTCGATTCTACATCTCACCTTTCGCGCATCCTACGATGGATATGTAATCATGCAAGCTCACAATCGTACGGCCAAACCTTATGCATCAAACCTACGATTCTATGGACGACTCAATCACAAGACATTATAGCGTTCTCAAAGCTAGTACCTCCTACATCTAGCATAAGGAGAAAGAGCGGAAGTAGCCATTAATTCCGCCTACTTCTATCACAATTTGGCCGTCTATCAACCCCAAATCTGAACACTCCCACGCGGATAATTGTCCCGCTTGCATCTAACCCCTCCTACCCGCTCGCTTCTTGGCCTTCGGTATTACCCAACCCGTCTCGCTTTTCCAAAAATTTCTGGATGGCACACGTGCCCGCTCTGAATAACGTTTGCCGTCCATATCTAGCGACATCACCTCTTCGTTGGTCCATCCGTGTCAATTTCTCGTGTCAACCGTGCTTCCACGGCTTCCGCTGCGGCAGTCGCTCCCACGGCTTCTGCTACAGCTCCCACGGCTTCCGTGACGCCGTTCCTCTCCGTCTCCATCTTGATCAGGTTCTTTGCCACCGCCGGAGTCTTGGTTCCCTCGATGCTCCCATCCACCAATTGTGCGCTTCCCCCAATCGTCCGAGTCAAGGTCACCTCCGTTTGCTTCTTCTCCACACCCACTTGCGGCTTCGGTGCCGCCTTCTCCGATGCTCCGTCTTGACCGGCCCCTTGACTGTCAAAAATGCTTTTGCCTTCTCACGGTCGCAATCTCCTACAATCCGCCGTGTTGCACCGCCTTCATTCTTACCACGCCTTCCGTCTCAAACCGCGCAACCCCCTTGTCAGAGGAGATTCGTGCTCCCGCATCCGTTGCTCGTCGCATGGCGAACAAGTTTGCTCTCGCTCCCGAAACGTGCAAATCTCGTTCAAATTTACCGTGCTCGCTTCGAGTGGCGTCTCACACTTCAAGACAACTCTCTTCATCCCCATCGCCGTCGAAGCTTCTCCTCCAAGCCCCCCAATTTTCTCCATATGTGCAAGCCTCTGATAGCTTGCAAATTGGCTTTTTTCCTCTTGATGTGTTGCGTGCTTTCCGAATTTGTTGAAACACAGCGTGGCTGGAAGTGATATTGAATCAATCAAGTTCACCCAATGTATATAGAGTGTGTCAAGTCGTGGCCTAGCTTTAGGTCTACACTACTAGCCTAGTAGGCTCAGTGGAGTGTCACTATGTAAGTTCAAAGACTTCACTCTATACCGCACCTCGATGGCTAATATGGAACCTACTTCATATCGACGGTTATCGTAATAAGTCATTCGGGTGTTACCGTCGAAACCCTAACTCCAAATTACCGTCAAACAACCGTCGACGTTTCCAGCGCCCAATCTTTAATTTGCGGTCCCAAACTTCTAGTCTTAGATTCCATGTGTCTACGCTCCTTAATCTTAACACTCCCCCACAAAATAATTTTGGGCAATTCTTAACTCGCTCAGCTTGCACTTCTTGAACTTCCCCGATGCTGACGCCTTGGTCAGGATGTCCACCTTCATGTCCTCCGATCTGGAGAACGCAAACCCGACATCCTTGCGTGCCACGCGCTCCCATGCAAGGTGATGAATCACTTCAATGTGCTTTGGTCGCTGTGAAGCGATCGGATGCTTTAGGAGCCGTATTGCCCCTTGGTTGTCGCAATAAATTTGAAGCGTTCCGAGGCCCAACTCAATATCTCCCCCAAGCTTGCGAAACCATAGCGCCCCCTTTACAGCTTGCGCTGCACTCAGGTACTCAGCTTCCACTGTCGAGGCCGCCACCGTTGGTTGCAACCTGCTCGACCAGCTGATCGCACCCACGTACATCAGGAAGATGTACTCCGTTGTGGACTGCC